GTAGAAACTCTGCTACATCCAACAAGGAAAAAAGAAAAAAAAAGACACACCTGTGCAGTACCATAAAGACAAACACAACCATGAGTGTATGCTTCCTATGAGAGATGATAAACAGGCCCTGATGCCCTTTAAGAATGAATTCCTATTCATTATTTTGGGGGGGTTGTGACTAGCAGTTTCCTGTTCCTGCTATGGTCTTAAAATTTTCAGTGCAACATGGGTTTTGGAAACCTATAAAGGAGATGTTAGTGGAAAGTTAAAATGCACTCTCTCTCACTACTCAGTTTTGAGACTACTGAATCTGTAACGTTCATTTCTTTCCTCCCAAGTGAAGCCTTTATGATCTACTCTGGATTTTTTTTTTATTTTTTTTTTAAATGCACTGAAGAGAGCACTACTTATGTCTTATCTTAAGAAGGAAGCACAATGCTTCTTTTTCCTTTAGGCTAGTCAAGCTACTCTCTCACATCATTAACATTTTTACCTTGTTAACTACAGGTGAATTTCCCCGATTACATTACAGAATATGTAGAAAAATTCTGGAACTTCATCACTAACCACACATTCTGGAAATGCTATTTTTAATTATAAAGCATCTTCAGTACTTTCTTGTATGGCTGTACAGACTCTGATTGATCAGTAACGTTATGTCTTTCATGAATATGAAAGTACTTGTGAAGCCAGATTTTAAGACCTGTGACAACTATCTTCATTCCCTTTATTTTCTTCCCCTCCTCACCCCAACACATACCTCTCCTGCGTCTTTCAAAAGCTGATTTATGGGAAAACTTAATTAAAGAAACTGAAATTCATTTAAGCATTTAAAACAAATAAAAAAACAAGTCATGCTTGATTAGGCAATGTTTTTAGCTAAATGACAACAGGAAAGAACTACATGAGATTCTTATAATCATATGCTGCAGGTTTTGTGCAATTATTTAGAGATGAGAAGTAATTGCTTCATTTCAATCTAGAAACAGTTACTTTTTATTACTGGGTGATGTTTAATAGATTGCATTGGCATAAAACATTCTAGAAATACAAGGTATTGTCGCTATTTTCACATAAATATACATGCTTACATATGCAATTACATATACACTACCCAGTATTGCTTGAAAGTCTTTCTCCATGTTTGCACACACATACACATACTCTCTGCATGGCTTTGCTGAGTTACTCTGTGTTTGTAGCAACCAGAAGTCATCTTGTTTTTAAAAAGAATTCCCTTCATCTAAAGGTACTAAGATGATTTACAAGTGCTTTATGTAAATCCTGCCAACCTATTTACATTTTTATAAATGGGAGGAGAACAAGAGTGCAAAATAAGTAAAGGTTGCAACCTGAGTGGCAGTAGCAAAAATAACATGAAGTAGTTCCACTGACATTACTGAGATTGAGGGAGAGACTCAGCTCTCTCAAGAAGACCTGCAGCATTTGTTGGATCTGCCACCACCTGTGTGCCCTATCTTTTGTTTAAACTGGAGAAATTATGTGCAAAAGCAAGCCTAAGCCTGACAGCAACAGGAATCAGAAACAAAGAGTAATGGGGAATTGTTAGGATGTTTCTATCTACAATATGAAGAGCTAGAGAAAAAAAAAAATTCAGAACAATCACTACAACTATCAGGCTCTTTGAGTAAAAAGAAAACACCCACTAAATAATACAAAATATCACCATTTCATATACTAACTGCATACCTGCTCAGTCAATCAGAAGACTCCAGCAGCCCTGCAACCAGCACAATTAAGGAATGTTTTAAAAAGCATGACTTTTGTACCTTTAATATACATGAACTGCGTTTTGTTCCCGCTTTTCAGCTCCCAATTGTCATGGTATACACAGGAGCTTTGTGGCCTCAAGGTCAGACTGCCTGTTCCAAATTTAAATCCAACTGAGTAAAAAAATCTGATAAAAGCAAGTATCCACACAACACATTACCTAAGCCTTGTTTCCACAGAAAACCAGCCTACAAAGAACATCAACCACTACAGTCAGAATGAGTGAGTCTTAAACTCTAATCTTATTACACTATAATATTCATCACAGACTCTGTGGAAGCCTCTAGACACAAAACTGCTTAAGTCAAAAAGCCCTGGGAGCAGCTCCAAGAGTTTTACATGAGAAACTCATGAACTGAGCTTCCCTGGAGGGAAAACAAAATTGAGGACCATCAAGGGCCAGCTACTCCATGAGAGCAGGGGAGCTTGCAGGGTCAGCAGGGCAATGGCCATACCACCAAAATAGAGAGACCCACAGTACCTGGACAAGCAGAGTAGGTTGAGTGACAGCAACCGGGGTCAACCACAGCTGAGGCAGGTTTGAGGTCAGGTCAGTGGGACTAGACAAGCCGCGATGGGCTGTGCAGCCCCCAGGCAAACAGGAGAAGCTTCAAAGCAGGGTTTTCCCAGCTCTGCTTCACCACCCAAACACCTGCACACAGCCAAAACTCACCACCAGCACAAGCAGCCAAGCCACTGGAGAATTAGCTGTTGGAAATTACAAATCAGAATCAGGTGGCTTAGTTCAGCTAACAATAAGCCTAAGCCAAAGCATCCTCACACTAGCAAGCAACCTGACTTTAAATTCTTATAGATAGTAAGCACCGAGAGGAATAAACACTATTGAGTCTGGAGGTGGTTGTTCCCAGTTGATACTCTGTGGCATTCTATACCTGTCTCCATTTTCTTTACTAGAGTTTCTTAATTTAAAAACCTTTAAATCATTTTCATGGATATTACTTTTGAGCACTCCACAGCACAAAATGATTACAAAACACAAAAAAATGATGAATGCTTCTTTTTTAGCAGCTAGCAGGCAGCTGTGTTTATGGAGGAAAGCATTCATAATGTAAAACACTGTAGAAAAAAGAATTTGTTCATATCATGGGCCCTGTCATATGCTTTTCCAACATCTTTGAATTATGATGAATGCCATAACCAATTTTAAGTATTAAACATTTAACAAACAACCCGAATGTAAGTCTATGGCACCCTCTTGTGTTCAACAATAATATAACTGTTTGTTTTTGAATCTTTCTAGATTCAGTATGATGTTATTCAGGAAAAACCTGTTGGGAAAAAAAAAAAGTATCCATTGAGTTATGATTAATACTTTTTGTATTAATCTAATACTCTAATTGAGATACCTCTATTTCATTGTGAAGGTCATAGATACAACATTAAATAGCTAAGACATTAATTCCAGATAGAACTGAATAAAGGATTAAACTAATACCTAATACACATAAATTCTGTTCTGTAATGATGTATCACGTTGCAAGAATCTACTGGGCACAAGTCTTACTTTAAAACACAAGAAAGAAATTGCAAATCAAGAATTAGAAACACAAACATGTCAATGAGCAAGATTAGCAAAGGAAAAACATGACTACACCATCAGAGTGAGAGGCTGAGATTATCCTAATGAGATTCCCAGCTAACAAACATCCTGTGATTTAGTGAGGTGCCTAAGGTTATCCTGTGTCTCAGATTCTTATCTATGAATGGAGATGCTTAATTTCCTGGGTATGGAGAGTGACTTCATTACTATTTAGAATATGCCAAGCACGCCACAGTAGAGGATACACATAGTGAGAAGTCAAAATACCGATTCATTGTTTACAGCTGCATTAATTTCATATATTCAGCCTCTTCTACTCTAAGCTACAATACTGCATATTAGGAAAAAAAGGACCCATGCTCACAAGTGAATTCCCATAGAAGCCTAATACAACAAAAGGTGATCAAAGGGAGAAGAAAGATGATGAAAAATAGGACAAAACCTGGTAACTTTCTTGTTAGCAATACTAACATTTACACACCTATTACTAAGAGAGAAAAACAGAGAAATGTTTAGTATGTTTGATACCCTAGTCTGCTTTACATTCCACTTCTACATACAAAAATCTCTTTATCCAAGTGTTTGATGAGATGCATAGATACAACTCCAGATAGTTCCTCTCTGAGTATCCTTCAAATCCAGCTCTGTACATGTAGCTTAACCATTGCTGTTCACCACTTTCCAAAAGAAATACCTGGGTAGAGTCCTCTCAGATTTCAAATGTGAAGAGGTTTGGATGATCTAAAATTGTCTCAATAAAATGCAGTAGTATTACAGAACTGTTTAAGATGCAGTTACCAATAAAAGCCCTTCCACTTCCAATTAGGAAAGGCTTGGGAATTGGTACTACTGAGAACACCAAATCCAACAAGACAACCAGAAACAAAACAACAGAAAACAAGCTTCATTCTGTACCAAACCCTCACACAAAAATTCAGAAGTGGTGTACTGGTTTTGGCTGGAATAGAGTTAATTTTTTTCATAGTAGCTTGTTTGGGGCTTTGTGTTAAATTTGTGATGAAAACAGCGTTGCCAACACAGGGATGTTTGAGTTATTGTTTATGCAATATTAAGACTATTTCTGCTTCTCACCCTGCCATGCCAGCAAGGATTCTGGGGTGCATGAGGAGTTGGGAGGGGACCCCACTGGGACAGCTGACACCAACTGACTGAATGGATATCCCAGACCACATGACATCATGCTCAGCAATAAAAGCTCTGGGAAGAAGAAGGGGGGATGTTTAGTGATGGCATTTGTCTACCCAAGTAACCATTAACACGTGACGGAGCCCTGCTTTCCTGGGGGTGGCTGAACACCTGCCTGCTGATGATACAGTCGTTTAGAATTGCAGAAGCCCTAGCCAGAAGAAATAATCAAATAAGGCTTCCTTGTATTTATCTTCATAACCGTTGTTACTTTATGTTCCATTTCACAGTATTAGATGCAAAAAATAAAGTGAAACATGAAGATGCTTGTTTAATCCAAGGAGGGAAAGCCAGGTCTAATAGGGGTATTTCACCATTTATTCTATTATAGCAAGTGTAAAAGACTCCAGAGTGACAGCAAAACAACTCTGAAGAGAGGGTGCTTGTGTTAAAAGAGAACAAGAGGGAGAGAAGTATTCTTGAACATGCAATAAATAACACTCGACACCACTTGTCAAAAAATATTTTTATTTTAACAGAAGCACAGCATCATCAGTCTCACACATCAGAAGTTATGGAGTGACCTGTAACACATTCAGGTGTCCCCATGGTAATGATCAAGTCCACATCAGAGGATCATCTGAGTTTCCACAATTATTATGCCTCATATAAAAATATTTTCCAATTTAATATTTAATATCAGTGCTACCCATTCAGTATAAATTTTTCCGTACTGTAAGTTTTTGTGATCTTAAATTAATTTTCAAGTAGTAGAAGAGAATGGGTTGCATACAGTAACAAGTACCTTTTTTCCCCTTGTGGGGAAGGAAAACTTAGTAAATTACATCAAAAACACTTTCACAAATAATTACAGGATTTGAGAAAATTAGTGATATAATAACAACATTAAAATGTAGAAATTATTTGATATGACTAATTCCACTGTTCTATATATGGATCTGTCTCTGAGAAGTCTAAATTCTCACATTCTTTACTCTTAACTAGGCAGTATTTGCTCATTGTAAAATCAACTTAATTGTTCATAATTGCTTTTGGGTATTTGTGAGCTTAGCACAAGAGATGAGGGAGGATGTAAAAAGGTGTTAATTTATTTTTTGCACTTCTGTATGGCTTATTTTAACAGAAAATTAATTATGCACAGCTTTCATTAATTTTTATTGTCTATAAGTCATAAATCATCTGTGTCATACTGTATTGCTTTTTTCTCACTTCTGGGTTACTAACCCAAAACTGCTGTGTAAGGCTTCCGAACCAAAAGTCTGCTCATTTCTACTGTTGATGGTAATAAAAGCTGATACACTGTCATTTGATCAGACTAACAAAGCTGATGATTTAAGAAACCTAACCAGAAAACATTTACCCTTTACAACATTCTCATTAAACCTACAAGCCACTACTCTTCTTATACTAAAGTCAGATACTTGAGGTATTGCCACACTGCTTCTATTAAAGACTTGGGGCATATAACCACTGCCAGCTGAAGAGTTACCAAGAACTTCTCATGAGGTATAAGTACAGCTTGCATAAACACAATCGTAATGGCTCAAACAAGTGAGTGTATTAGCGTGCAAAGAACAGAATCTGGGAACTCAGCGTACCATTTGCCATTGTAATACAAGCAATGCTTTCCATTCCACGGTCAGCTGAGCCATCCTGTAATACTCTGCCATAAAGTTCTAAACTAAACTGGTATTAAAAATAAAATTTTAAAAAATAAAATAAAATAGGAGAGTGCTCACAAACAGATATTATTTAACTAAGGCACTGAAAAGTATACTGAAAATGGAAAGATTAGTCCAGTTCTAAACACAGCATTTCTGAATGCACTGTCAGACAGACAGACATCTTTCCAGAATCACATCTGATGAATAAAATTTAGTTATGGCTCATGCACAAAAGTGTTTGAGTATAACATGATTAACATGATTCAAGTTGTACTAGTTAGTGAGAATTTACACTTGCTTCAGAAGGGTTATACAAGCTCATTAACAATGCAAGGTGTTTGATTTTTTGCATTATTAATTAAGCTCTACAACACATAGAAAAAAATCTTTCATGAAACAGCCAAGGTAATTCATTTGTGTATCAGCCAAAGTAATTTACTCGTATATCAGCATCACCAAGGATCTTCTTCCACCTACGAGGAGTAAGAATAAGAGTGAAACTGAATGCGTTAAAATGTATTTGAAAGTTTTGAAGGACTTAGCTTTACACAGACAACAGAACACAAAATTCCTCTATACTTCAATATCATGATAGATTCAAAAGCAATTTTGTTCTGAAAATATTAAGCAATATTGCCACAATCCCATTAATACAGCTTCATAAATGCTGAGTAGTCTCACTACTTTCAACTGTTAGATCAAAACATCGTCTGTCCTGCAATTAATTCAAACAGAGGACAGTGACTCTGCCCACTCTATAGGAGCCTTCCTTGCAAGAAACTGTATTTAAACTGAGGTGCAAGTACAGTTAGCCACAGATAGTTCTTTAGATATGACACAACATTGTTAAGTAGGTGGATCCCCTATTCAAACGTATCTTACAATTTCAGCCACTGCATTCAGTAGACTATATATAGGGAAAAGACATAAATGTGTATAAAAAACAGAGACAGTAATATATACTGTTAACAATAAGGAGGAGTTTTACAGGCCCCAAATATAATGAGTTAAGAATGCAAATCTTAAGTACTTACTAAGGCTTGACGCTGTAATATTCTTCTGGTGTCACAATTTTTAATCCACCAAAGTAGTCCAGCACCCAAATATTGGTTATGTTGAATTTGGCGAAGAACCAATTATGATCCTTAGGCCAACTTTCCATTTCAGGGTGGCGACTGAATAATGCTTTTTTTGCTAAGCCTGCTTCTGAATCATTCACCTAAACAATAACCAGCAAAATACTACAGTAAGATACAGTCATGTGAAGACAAATTTTAGCTAAAAATCCACTGCTGACTGCAGTGTTCTCTGCTCGGTTTAGCCATGTCTTGTCCCAAACGACTCATTACTGTGGCAGAGTCCCCTCATCTTCAGTGTGGTGCACAAATGTACACGAGGCAGACAAAAACTTCAAGGTAGTTGATATTAATATTAAATCAAAAGAGTGCTTTTAAAGTAAGCATGAGCAAGAAAGCACTTCATCAACACAAGAATAAATCTTCCAACAAATCACAAAACAGAGAAGTATGGATTCTTGTTGAATTATTACAGTTCAGTGTTTTAGATGTAATTTTACCCCCTCTGCACCTGCTCAAACACAAACAGATCCAACTGTGTTCAGATGCATGCAAACACATGCATACAGACACACGTATACACACACATACAGCATTTTGTGACAGAATCCACAGAGAAGGGAAGCTGAAATGTGTGACAGCACTTAAGATACAATGTGCAAATGTTTGAAGGGTTATATCAACAAGTTAGAGCTCTGAATATGGTACAAGAGGAACTAAATAAAATCAATAATTCCATTATGGATGAGAAACTCATGAAAGCAATTGAAGGACTGGAGTGTAGTGTATAAACATCTGAGGTGTGGAAACACCAAATAAGAATTTAGACTATCATAAGGAAGAGTAATGATGATTAGTCCTCATCCTCAATCATTATCTTCAATAATGGGATTAAGATGTTCAATGAATAACACATGCAGTTCTATGTTCCTTCTATGGGACACCAAAGTACTGGGGTGCATGAAAGAATACTGCCCTGGCAGCAATGCCACCAGATAATACAATGTGCTTTTTCTGTCTCCAATACCTGTAACTTTATACCTCAGCTTAATATGTACTTCAGTACAGTTTCAGAAGCGTGTATGTCACACTGCACAGACTAAAGAATTTAACTGAGCAAAAGAGATGGAAAAACCTTCCTGCTTCACTCACAAGACAACTGTCTTAGAATTCTTAGTTTCAGAACAGGTTTAGAGGAAAGAGGGAGACTTCTTTCATCACAGTATTGTCCTCCCAAGTTCCTTGCTAAAGACATGCCAACAGAGCTCCTCCAAGTACACAGTGGTAATTTCATTTTCCTCACATAAACTATGAACTAGCCTTCTGGTATCATGGCACATAACACCTCTTCATATACTTTTGCACAGAAACTCTAACCTTTCTCTTCTCCATCCACTAAACAATACTACTTGATGCACACAATCTTGTCCAGTGTCAATTTTCAGCTGCTTACCTTTACAATACTCCCACAGAAGATTATGTGGGCGCAAAGGGGATTCTGGGGATCGTATCTGTGCTTCTTGCAGTAAGGAGTCTGTGCCAAAGACACAGTTAAGGAGGCGTTTGAATTGATCTGAAATACAAGTAGTAAGACAAGAGGTTTATGTACTTTTGCAAGAAAAATGTCATACCCACCATATTTTCAGCTCTTGGTACTTTATTCAGCTCAGTATTACTGGTAAAAAGCACAAAGCTGCCATCACCTTTTCCTAAGTATAGCTGAAAGCCTGCTCAGATGAGCTCTGAATCTGAAAGAAAGACCTGTTTAGAAGTGTGCTGAAGTTTTTTAGCATAAAATGCAAACCTCACAAAATGGCACTCTGTAAAGCTCTGAATTCAACATACATATACTTCACATTCAAATGCTGAATATTCCAATTCACATGCATACAAGACAGTGCAGAAAACAAGAAGATACAGTGAACATCATTAAGTTAATTCTGGCAGAAGGACAAAGGGTTACTGAAAGGCAACCAAGCTTCACAACCGTTGATAAAACAAAACCAAACAACCCCCGCATCAAAACAAGACTCCTGGCTGCCCCCAAACTCATCAACTCTTTTGAAGTTTTTTAAAGTTTGGTCCTGAGTATTTAAGACACCTAACTTAAGAATTAAAGAGTATGTATCCTACTGTTTTTCTAAAATTAATTTGGTGAACACAGCTTGAAATGTACTGGTGCAAAACAGGATTGCTTACTGCAGAGCATCACATAACATTCATTATCTCCCATAAATTCGTGTCACATAAGTTCATTACTTCCCAGCAAAGAAAGTTCATGTGCTCTGAGAAATTTCATTAAAAGAGCTCATCTCAAAAAAAAAAAAACCAACCCCAAACCCCAAAAATCTATAAATTCGGTTAAACTCTATGCAGAGTACCACTGAACTGATGAAACAGGAGCAACCACCTGACAGATAGGAAGTTGCTTAGTTACAAAAAAGCTGACTCATGATTACTCGGCACTATTTCCTACCACACGTCTCCCTGACACGTGACTATCACAGTCAAACATTTCTGCCCTGTAACAGCGGATTAAGGATCTGCTGAGGAGCCTTCTGAAGGAAAATGTTCCATTAGCAGTTTATACCATGATTTTTATGTTATTCTGAAAACAAAAAGCTGTAGCTGGAGTGGAGATACCATACAAGATAAATTAGGCTTTCTACAACACCTAGATACATAATTAAACTATTTTAATGTAGCAAACTAAAACTTGACAGGAAACAAACAAAAAAGGTTTGACAGTAAAACAAGTCTGAAAAAATTTCCATTATTTAAGTTTTGTGATTATTTGTTTTACTAATACTGTAACAGCTACTAGTATAAAAATTTTTTCTAATACAGGTATTGCTATTTCCCTGACTTTTTTTCACCAACTTTTGACTGCAGCCAAGCAAAAGATCTGAGGCAAGGCCAGTTACACACCCTCAGACCCTCAGCACGCCAGTCTGCTGCTTTTCATCGTGTTCTTGCCTTTACGGTAAGCTCCAGAGATGTAATTACTATTCCTTCAGTAGCCTGTCAAGGAGCTCTCTTTGCTCAAGTCCCACGCTGACAATTTCCAGTATTTTTGATCATTTTTGTGCAGCTCTCCCTGTTGACATATTCTGCAGGCCCTCACTTCTCTGGTCAGCGCTTCTGGGAGCTTCAGCTGCTTCTTCTACCAGAGCGCTGCTCAGCAATTTTTCAGACCATGATCAGCAGGAACTTCTTAGGGGGACTACCAAGTGTCAACACGGACAGCACTGCTTATGTTTACGTGTTCAAGGCCTAATAATTGTCACCAGGGTTCACAAATGAGGTGACACCATTGCACCGCCTTCAGGAAGCGCTGGTGTAAACCCCGAGCCTACAACAGGACTTTCAACCATCACTTGCTCCCGGGATGAAAGAGCGGAGGCAACAAATAAAAAATACGACCGCATTAGCCTAACCTGCACGCTTGCACGTCTCCTTTACTGGGGTCACTATTTACACCTGCGGCTTGCTGGAGCCGATTTTTGTAGGGACAACCCCCCTCGTCCCCGTGCCCCGCTGCGGGGGCTTTAAACCCCCGACCCACCGTTGCCCGAGAGAGCGCTGCCCGCGGCCCGGCTGCGCCCGCTCACCTCCAGGTCCTGCACGGAGATCTCCATGTCGGTCAGGTAAAGGTAGGGGACGCCGCTGCCGCTGAACGGCCCGGGGGGGCCGTCGCTGAGGGAGAAGATGTTG